ATTCCGTTGATATAACATGTCCGGATTATGCAAATATATAGAAAGAAAGCAGATCAGTGGTTGCCTAAGGCTTGGGGTGGGAATGAGAATTAACTACAATTAGGAATGGAGGAATTTTAGGGGATGATGGAAATGTCTTAAGACCAATTGTGGTAGGGGCACCTGAGTGGCTCAGTCTGTTAAGCGTCTGCCTTCAGCTCAGGTCATGATCCCAAGGTCCTGGGATCAAACCCCATGTCAGGCTCTCTGCTCAGCTGGGAGCCTGCTTCTCAGTCTCCCGCTCTCCCTGCTTGTGTGCTCTCTTTCTGTCAAATAAATACATGAAATCTTAAAAAAAAAAAAAAAGACTGATTGTGGTAATGACTACACAACTCTATAAATTACTAAAAATCGTTGAATCATACTCTTAAATGGGTGATTTTTTTAGGTCTGTACATTTTAATTCAATAAATTTGTTAAGAAGTGCAAGTTCCAGGGCCATACTTCCAGGGACTCTCATTCAGTAGATGTGGAGTGGTGCCCACGAAATCTGGCATTTTCTAAATAAGCACTTCCAAGGGATTCTGATGCACGTGGTGTTTTTAGCCCACACTTGGAGTGCGCTAGCCCAGAGCGGGGGAGGGGAGCGGCTGGAGGAAGGCAGACCTTCCCAGCCCACTTGAGCCTCTCTGTCGCCCTTAGTGGGGCCTGCTGGCGAAGTTTCCTTCCCACTAACTAACCTTCACTCTCCTGTCCTATGTGGCCCTCAGCTATCATCCAAACCCTATCTGCTTGGGCACTGGGTTTTCAGTCTCTGGGGAGGCAAGTAAGGCAGGAATGTAGAAGCGCTGGGTCAGACCCTCCCGTTATGTAAAACCTTGATTTTTGTTTCTTGTGGATTTTTGGCAGTACTTCTTATACTAAAGTATTGCATTAAGATACATTATTTACGGGGCACCTGCGTGGCTCAGTGGGTTAAAGCCTCTGCCTTTGGCTCAGGTCATGATCCCAGGGTCCTGGGATCGAGTCCCGCATCGGGCTCTCTGCTCAGCCGGGAGCCTGCTTCCTCCTCTCTCTCTGCCTGCCTCTCTGCCTACTTGTGATCTCTGCCTGTCAAATAAATAAATGAAATCTTAAAAAAAAAAAAAAAAGATACATTATTTACCTGGGGTGCCTGGGTGGCTCAGTTGGTTAAGTGTCTGACTCTTGATTTCAGCTCAGGTCATGATTTCAGAGTCCTGGGATTGCGCCCTGCGGGGGTGCTGTGCTCAGCCAGGAGTCCGCTTGAGGATCCTCACCCTTTCCCCTGCCCCTCCCCCCTGCTATACGAACGTGCTCTCTCTCTCTCTCCCTCCCTCTCTAAAGTAAATAAATAAATCTTTAAAAAAATTATATATATATATATATATATATATATATATATACACACAATTTATCTAATTTTTGTCTCAGGTGAGTACTTCACTCACTCACCGGAGGCCTGGTCCTGCCCAGATTCACTGGGAAGCCCAGACCCTCCCCATCTTCCTTTCTTTCCCTAGAGCCAAGCTGAGCAGCGGAGAGGGTGGCTATTTACCTCAGCTCTTGCCCTGGAGACCCTGAGATTGGACCACAGGGCCCCGCAAAGGGGATGTTCCCGCCCCCAACTAGGCAACCACCCACTCTCCCGGAGAGGAGGAGTAATTGATCTCAGTTCTCATCCCTGAACCCTTTCCCTCCAGCTGTGGCTGCAGAACTTGAAACCCCAGCAGATTTTAACCTTTGTAAGGTAGCTGGCTTTTCCACAGTGGAAGGCGTTTGCACATGCTGTGCCTAGGGCGGTGAAAATAGCTCCGCCCTTTCTACAACCTCTCTCCCGATGCGCTCAGACCTCAAAAACCATCACTCATTCATTCAACCAGCACCCATGGAGCACCTGCGGAGACCGTCCTAACCTCTCCTGCAGGAAGCCCCCAACCTCAGGCACTCAGCGCTCCTCCTCTGAGCTCTCACACGACCAGTACCGATCCCCCTCACCACATTTCTCGGCTAGAAAATATTCCCATCCAGGTGTGTGTCCCCCACCAGTCCCGCTCGCTTTCTGTGTCCCTAGGGCAGCTTATGAAACTGGAGGTAACAAACGTGGGCAGCAAATGGAGGGTTCCCGGCCTCTCCTTGGGTCTGCCTAGGCTCCATCTGCCGCCTCCGGCCCCACACCGTGGCTGCAAGGGGCAGCCGACAGGGAAGTGTATGGCGGGGCAGAGGCTTCGCTTCCCCTCTCCCCAGGACAAGTAAGTGCCTGGGGTATGGAAAGTTTTACAAGCAAGGTCTGGACCCTCGAGAGCTCCCAGGCTTCCCTCTCGGGCGATACATCTGCGATAGGAAGACAGCTTCAGGAGTAGGGCCGGGGTGGCTGCGATTTCGCACCCAGGGCCTCGACTGCCCGGCCTCAACCTCAGCTGTCCCTCCCGCCAGGGCCTGGAGCTGCTGGAGGAATCGGATGCTTCAGCGAGCCCAAAATGACTTCCTATCATTCCAGGGTCCACGGGGGCCGCTGAGTCCCCCACCACCTCCGGCGGGAGCCAGAGGGCTTCAGGATGTTACAGGGGCTCTCGATGTCATCGGAAGGGCCTGAGGCCGAAGAAGGACGCTAATCCACGACACCGAGTCCCGCAGTGACGGCGGAAGTCCCAGGCGAAAACTGCCCGCTGCGCGCCGGGTTCCGGCCGGCCCACCGGCTTAGCCGCAGCGGCTCGGCGCCGTCGCTCGTCCATGCGGCCCCTTAGGCGAGGACCTTCGGGGACCAGCTCTGCCCCGGCGTTTGCAAAGCTCGAAAGCGCCAGTACTGACCCTCTCTCCTCCCAAAGGCGCGGCGCGCGGGTGGAAGGCCGAGCTCGCGGCTAGCGAACCAGGCGCTTCCCTCCGCAGGAAGCCTCGGGCTTGCACCCCTGGCCCTTTGCCGCCGCGCTCCAGGTTGTGACTCGTCGCCCGGGGTGGCGCGCCCAGGTCCCCGCGCTCTATCTCGCGGCGCTCGGCCACCGACAGGCTGGCACCGCGGTACGGCCGGTGTGCACGCCCGCGCCCGGGACGCCCAGCGCAGCGCCAGCGCCCACATCAGCTCCGCCGGGACCCACGGGCCGCACTGGCGACACCCCCGACTGCCCTCACTGTGGTCCTGGGACCGCTGTTGAGGATTCCGGCGCACACCTAGGACCCAGAATTTATGACAGCTGATGTCCTTTGAGAGAAACCAACTCAGGGCAATTCAGCGCCTCCTTGCAGCCAGTTCCCAGTCCTGGCTCTGGCCTGGGGGTTGGAATTTAAGGTGCCCAGAGCCCCAGCTGATCCTTCACTCTTCCCCAGGGCAGAGGTTCCCAAGCTCCTACCCCCAATGCAGGAGTCCGGCCTCCTCCAGGGAGTCAGTGAGCCTAGCCGATCGCGCAACCCGCCCCAGCGCCGCCAGCCTGGGCAGGAGTCGGGAACTGGGGGCAGGGACCATGATCGTATCTCCTGGTGGACGCAGCCCAGGGGCAGGCTCTTGCCACCCGCAGACAGAGCTCTGCTTTCCCACGGGGTCCAAAAAGTCCACTAAGCCAAGGCACAGTGACTACTCCAGGAAGCCAGTTCTGGGTTTCCTCTCCACATCCATGTCCCCAAGTGACACAGCCCAACACTTGGAGGCTCTCCTCCCCTAAGTTCAGGGAAGCTTGTCCCTTCTTCTTACTCCCCACACATTCTACGCTATCCGACTAACTCTCAGGCCCTGGTAACCCAGCCCCACTCCTAGAAGTCCAACCCCCAGCGCCCCCACCCCAGCCTCAGTCCCAGTCTTCCGTGAGAACACTGTGAGAACGCGTGGAGTCCAAACAGTGCCCAAACAGTGCCCGGGCTTGAGTTCACTCTTGAAAAATGACTGGAGCCAAATCCTGCAGGAGCTGTGCCTGCCTCAGGCACCACAAGCTTGTGTGTGTCACCAAGTTCCTCCTGGGGCACCGGCCCCAAATCTAAGGAGCCCGCCCAAAGCCTGGACCCCTCTGCCTCCGCATCTCGATCTCTCTCTTTCTCACCTTCTCCTGGCATGTCCAGAATTTGGTCCTCCAGCTGGAAAATCCAGTGGAGGCAGGTCTCAAACCCCTGGCTCCTACTAGAGCAGAGACACAAACACCCTCCCAAAACACACAGGAACTGATCCTTGCATACTCAGAGATCCTCAGAACCAGAGAACAAATTCCAGGACACGACAAAGACCCTGACACACACACACACACACACACACACACACACACTCACACAGACTCCCAAACACTCAGAAATATACACCAACATAGTGGACATGCATTGCACACTCAGCATCAGAAACACACATGCCAAGAAATACCAGAAAGACACCTAGGAAAGGAACATACCAGACATGCATGGACCCTGAACTCACATAGGACATCCAGGATCAGGCAGGTCCTGGCCCTCCTATACTCAGACTAACACACGATATCCACACACCAACTCCCGCAACCCTAAATGTGGTAAGAGGCTCCTGCAAGGATAGAAAATTCCCTGGGGGAACCTTGAGCCTCCCCCCACCATTAATTGACCCCAAGGTCCTGCTGGGAAGGAAATCTTGCCTGGTTAAGAAATGGTAAGGCACTGTAATGTGGAAATCATTTAAGGAAACCCATGGGAACTGCACCCCCTTTCCCACCTCTTAGGAAACAGGAAAGTAGTTTAACTCTTTCTGCAAATTATTTCCAGATCTACAAGAACACCCTCCCCTTGATAGGAAAAGGCCAAGCCACACAGAGGGTCTGCTCCAGAATGAGTCCGATGGGCTCAGCCCATCCTAGATGGTAGGCCCTAGGGCCAACCCACCAACCCACCCCTCTGCCAAAGCTCTGGCCAGGACCCCAGCCTCTGCTGCCCCTCTAATGGCTAGAAGACAGAGACACAGAGGAGGCAAGCTCCACAGGAACAAAAACGGGTCTGTGCGAGGGGAGCCTGCACCATGTCCCCCAGGTCTGCCCTGGCTGACGCATGCTGTTCCTTACCTTTCTTGATCACGGACTGGTCCAGAAGACTCATTCCCGTCTCATCCATGGCCTGAAAATAGGAGAGGCAGTGGTAAGGGGGCTTATGGACCTAGTCCCCTGTCACTTCCCAAGTCCCTGCAGTCACTGGTCCTGGTCCTGTCCACTCTGCCCAGTGCTTTCCACCTACCCTTGGGGCAGCCACAGACAGGGCCAGGACTGCCTGGTGGCTGGAGCCCTGGATACTTCACCCTGCCCTGCGAAATAACAATTTTGAACCTTAGAAAACTCCTCCGCCTCTCTCCGCTTCAGACGCAGGCTGCCCCAGCGGACTGGGTCTGGACCATGGATGCACCACGTGGCCGAGCGGAGAGCTAAGGACGTGTTTGAGCCTCTGTCCATTGACTCCACCAGGGGTTGCCGCCCTCCAGGCACCGCGCACTGACTCAGCGCCAGGCCGCCTGAATGGACAGGCAGCATGTAACCCAGATTTGGGGCTCCTCCTCGGAGACATGAGTGAGAGGTGGCAGGGTGAGAGACGAGTGAGACGCCCGCCTTCGTCACCGTGCCTCCAGCCAGAGTCCTAAATCCCCGCGGCCGGTCCTGGCCCTTGCCGGACCGTTCGGGCCTCACCTGCAGGTCGTCTAGGCCGGGCGGCGCCGCCAGCCCAGGGAGGCCGAGGGGCGCGTCTGCCAGGCCGTGCGCGCCGTCGGCCAGGCCGTGCAGGAGCCGAGGCACCGCGGCGGCGTAGTCGCGGCGCGGGTCGAGGCCCAGGGCGCGGGCGGGCGGCGCCAGCAGGCCGGGTGGCTCGTCGTGGGTGCGGGCGGCGGCGCGGGGCGCAGCCCAGGCGGCCTGTGGAGGTTGCGGCTGTGCCAGGGGCGCCAGGCCGCCGTACGGGTCCCCGGCCAGGTGGGGGAAGGCGGCAGCGGCGTCGGGCGCCTGGCCGTAGGGCAGTGGCGGCTGCGGGTAGGGAGGCGGGAAGTAGGGCGGCTGGAAGTCGGCGGCGGCTGGCGTGTGGCAGAGCGGTGGCGCCGGCCCATAGGCCGCCTGGGGCAGAGACGACAGGCGGGCCGCGCCAGCCGCTGCGCCCAGCCCGTCGGGGCGCTCCTGGGGAAGGAGAGGGGCGCGTTAGGCGACCCGCTGGCAGCTGAACGACCCCGGCCCGAGAGGACCGTCCTCAGCTCGCGGGGATCCGGCTGCCGTCCTGCCCAGGCGTCGCGGGGCCTGAGGTCTAGCTCGGAGGGGCCCGTGGGCGCGGGAGCCTCGAGCTAGGACAGCGGTGTCCCGCGCGCACCCGCACGGTTCGCAGCTGGCAGAGTCCCTGCGGCCCCCTCCTGCCGAGATTTCTTTGGAGGTGGAGGTTCGGCAGGTCCGGGCGCTCAGGTTCCCCGATCCCGCGCCCCGAGACTACTTACCATGGCGGAGTAAGTGTGCACCAGCATGGGGCGGGTGGCGCGGGGCGCGGGGCGCGAGGCGTGGCGGCGGCGGAGCCGTCGCCCGACGGCGAGCGCCGCGGGAAGAGGCGCGGGGAGCCTGTGCAGCACGCGGGTGCCCTTTGGGGCGGCGGGGTGCAGCCCGGCCCGCAGCCCGGCGGGCGTCGGGTCCTCAGCTGTAGGAGCCCTGGGGCAGGTCCATGGGGGCGAGACGTGGGCCGGACGGGCGCAGATCGCACTTGGAAAAGTCGGTCAACTGGTGCCCAGCGCCCGCCCTCCTTCCTCTGAGCGCAGCCCTCTCCATGCACTCCAGTTATAGTGGCGGGGGCGCGCTGGGCCTCTGGGGCGCGCATTAAAGAGACACGCTGTGGCCGCTTTCTCCCTTCTCCCCAGCGACGGTTCAAGGGGAGGCGTGGCTTTGGCGCGACCCCGTGGGGTGGGTAGCGGGGCGTGAATCCAAGCCCCGCTGGTCTGAGCCGCCTTCTGGGCTCAAAGCTCCAGCTGCGGTGAAACATAGAAGGATTGGAGGCTAGGATGTAGAGATGGTGGTTTTGAATCTCAGCTCTACCGCCTTTATTTGCCTTTGAGCAAGGTACGACTCTTTCTCATCCTCAGCTTCCTAGTCTGTAAAATGGGTATCAGTCCTTTCACTGACCCCCTCACCGGACTGTGGATGGGCCATCGTCAATGTGGAAGAAGTTTGAGAGCTGCAGACCCAAGCCCACTGGCTCATGTGCACACATGTGTCAGCGTGTGATGTGTGTACGTGCCATACACACATAGAGAACCATCACAGTCTTTCTGAATGTTTCTGGATCAAAGACCCTCTAAAGGTGCCCACTTCACTGGCCTTTTCCAGGGGCTGATAACTCCCAGTGCCAAGCCTCTGAGGAAGGGGGACACACCAACAAAGAGGGTTGTCCAGCTGGGGGTTGGGCAAGGGTTCCACCAGAAAAGGACTCCAGATGTTTCTGAAGCCAGGAGAGCCTGGGCTGATTGAGTAGAGGTCTGTCTCGCAAACACACACACACACACACACACACACACGAGAGAGAGAGAGAGAGAGAGAGAGACTGTTGGGTGAAGATATGTGTAAGTGCCCCATGTGGATGGTGTGCAGTCGGCACCCTGACATGTGCAGGCTGTGTGTTTGTGGGTTACCATGGCAGGCTTGGCTGTCTCCCAAGGACATTTCCGTCCCTTCAGTCACTCCACCTTTCTCCCAAAACCCAACCCTCTCCTCTTCTGCCCCCTGCCCCAGAAGCAAGATCAAGGATTAAAGAAAGGGAATGAGAGGAATACTAAGAAGAATAGGAATTTAAAAAGCAGAAGGAAGATGTTTAAAAAAAAAAAAAAAAGGCAAGAAGATGCTCAGACAAAAAAACATAGAATTCTGAAATAATCACAGCAAGTACTTATTACAGAGTGTGCGGTGTTCTGTGTTAAGTACCTGGTGAGTACTGGGTTGCTTCACCATCACGCTTTCTGGTGAGGAAGATGTGGCACAGGGAGGTAGGTGAATGGATTTGGCCAACGTCATCGTGGAGCAGCGAGCAGCCAGAGAAGTGGCAGAGCCAGGGTGGTCTGCCTCCAGCCTCTCTCTGTGCTGTACTGCCTACCCCTCAGGGGCCTACAGATGTAGTTCTCACTCTGACCAACCTGTGCCCCTGGGTGAGTCCCTCCTCGCCCCTGACCTCAGTTCCTGCAACTTCAACAACAGTGGCAACAAAGCAGGGTGGCTCAGAGAGGACTGGATGTTTTCTGAGGCCCCTTTCTGGTGAAGTGGATGATGAGAAAAGAAAGGTGGAGATGCAGAGGTAGGTTAAGAAGAGAGGGGGATTGACCCGTGGAATGTATGTGGAGGGGACTTGAGTGGGGTATCCCAGAGGCAGGGGCAGAGCTCAGGTCCGAGTCATCTCAGTCTGGGGGACCATGGGGAAGGGAGGAGGCTGGAAGCAGCAACATCACTAAGAACTTTCTGGAGGCTGGAACCACCAGTTAGGGTGGGGAAAGAAGCGGAGCTGGGCAGAGCTGTCGCCTCCGTGCCCAGGACAGACCAGAGGTCCGGAGTGTGTTTGTGTGTGTCTGGATATGCAGATGTGTGAGTGATGAGACCCCTTCTCCTCCATCTTCAAATTCAGAAGTGAGGCTCTAGGACAGGTGTTTGTGGGTTAGTACATGGCACGCAGGTTGGGGGACCCATTGGGGAAAGAACAGGAGTGGCAAGGCCAGAGCTGCCCGTGCCCAGCTCTGGGGATCCCTTTCTCTCTCCAGCAGAATTCTGGCTGGGGAAGGCCAGAATGACAGGACAGGCTGCCTGTCCAGTGACTTTTGTGGATTTTCTCACTCTACCCTGCTGCAGCTTGAGACACTCCCTTCTTGCCTGGTTCTCCTCCTTTCTACCCTGACTCTCCCTCAGCTCACTTTTCTAGCTCATCGTTCAGCCACATCCTTCATGTTGGTTATTCTTCCTCAGGGTTGAAGCTTCAGCCTTTTGTTCCTGTCTGCACTCTTCACGAGTGAGTGAGTTCCTTCCTTATGACTTTAGTGACTGCTAGTCCGCTGTTATCTCTCAACTTTGTTCTATCCAGTCTGCGTCCCTCCCTAAATATTCAGACCCACAGATGCAATTGCCAGGGGGGTATTTCCTTCAGGCATCTCGTTGCAGCCATCTGAAACTTTCCAAGTCCGCAAGTGAACTCGACATCCCCTCCACCCCTGCCACCCACCTCAACCTGCTTCTTCTCTGGGCTCCGTACATGGCACCCCCGTCCCTCAAATGGAAAACAGAGTCATCCCAGACTCTGGCCTTCCCTTCACCTTCATAAACCAGTCGTCATGGAGTGTTGTCATTTCTAACCCTTACACATCTCTCCCCGCCCCCTGTCAGCCCTTTAGGGCCCCATAGTCTTTCTCATAGACCAGTGGTTTTCAAAGTGTGTTTCCTGGGCCAGTATCACCTACAGACTCCGCAACCTTGTTACAAGTGCCACTCCTTGGACCTCACGCCGGAGGACGCTGAATGTGGGGACTGGAAGTTTGTTTCAATACTCATCAGATGACTCAGAAGCTCACTAAGGTTTGAGAACTAATGTCTAGACCATGACAACAACCCCCTAGCTGGTCTCCTGCCTTCGTTCAGTACCCTGATGACGCACTTCCCATTCTACTTAGTGGTAAGAGGGAGGGAATCATGTAACCTTCCTGCTGAAAACTCCTGAGGCTCCTCATGGTCCATCTTCAGGGGAAAAAAAGTGTCAGCACCCTAACCAGCATTCCAGCTGCAACTGGTTTTTCCTTTCTGCCTCACGAAGTATTCTGTAAGAAGATGCAAGGAGAGACAGAGAGTGTGTCCCGCACTGGCTTGGGAGCATGGCAGGTGCTCAGTGGAAACTTATTAAAAAAATGATGAATGCATGAGTTTGTGAATTCCTCAGATGACTGAGGGGTCTTTTGGGGAAGCTTCCATGTGAGCATGACCCTGGGTAGGTAGACAGAGAAACCACGTATACTCTGAGGAGATCATCTGATAAATGATTTTCCTTATGGCTACTGAGGAGATGGGTGTTCGTGACCTGTGACTGCTTTGGGGGCTTCTAAAACCTACAGGGTCTTACGGCCGCAGACTCTGTTGCTCTTCTCTTTCAGGGCCAAGGGACTCCTCACTTTCTGAGGCATGGAGGTGGGCATTGCTGCTTGCGCTCTTTCTGGGAGAGGAGTGCACACGTGGAGGCCTGGGATGTGCATGGGGCTACACATGCAGACTCTCCTGGGCATGTGGGGCATACAACATACCTAGAGACACTCTTGGGAAACATATATACACATGGGAACACAGGACATGTATTGACCCATAGGTCCTCATGTTCAGACATCCTAGATTTCCATTTGGCAGTCTTTGCCTATTGCTCTTCTCCCGGTCTCAAATCTCTCCCTCTCTTTTCAAAAAGCAAGCTTGCATTTGGATTCGATGTTAAGTAAAAACTCAGGCCTGCCTCCTTTATTGACACAGCCATCCTCCTCCCCACCTTTGGCAATCTGCTCTGGGCCTGGCTGGGTGTTTGCCGAATGGGGGAGCATCTGGCACAAGGAGATGCTGAGGCGCCACCTGGTGGTTCTATCTCACAATTGCAGCTCAGGTCACCCTTTCTCGCACCTGAATTACCAAAAGCAAGCTTGGTCTTGTTACAAAGTTAGCCAAGCCCCTCTCCCCATTCAGGAGCCCAGAACTCTCTGACCATCCCTCACTAAAGTACAGAGCTCAGTCTGCCTTTTGTTATAAGACTTTCTGCAGGGTTTGGCTCCTCCAACTCGGGAGGGAGAGTATTTCGAGAGCTGGGACTGTATGTGGCCACTTGCTTTGGGCCCTTCCCTTCTCTTGCTACTTCCCTAGATGATCTCAGTCACTCCCATGACTTTAAGACTCTACACTGCCAACTCCCAAATCTGTTGCTCGCCCAGACTGCTCTGAGCAACAGACTGCAGAAAGCAGCTGATGCCTGGATGTTCCACACGCAGCACAAACTCACCATTTACCATATTGAGTTTATATTTTTCATTAACCTGTTTCCCAGTGTTCCCAGTGACAGTGAATGGCCCCATTATCCACTTAGTGGCCCAGATCAGGTATCCAGGAGGGCTCTTTATCCCTCCTCACTGACAGTTAATCACCAAGCCCTATTAACTAACTCCTACCTATATTTTCTCCATCTTCACCGCCGCGGGCTTTTAGTTCAGACTTAGTACTTCCTCTCTGTGTTCCCTGCCTCAGTTGTCCCTCTTGCAGCCAGTCATCTTTAAAAATGCAAACTGGATCATAGTCTGTTAAAAAAATCTCAGCATGATCACACATTTAAGCTTCTGAGCATGGCATGCCAGGACTTGGAATATCTGGTCCATGCCCACTGGTCCAACATCCCACTTCACACTCTCTATTGTAGCAACAATGAGCTACTTGCAGTTCCAAAGCTCACATGACTTTATACCTGCTGTTCCTCTGCTTGTCTACC